CCCAATAATGTGTTTTGTGGCTTGTATATGCTGTATCTATGGCAGGAGTCCAGGCATCCTTTCAATGTTTTAAGGACTCAAGTTATGTAAAAAATGCAGGATTGAATTCAGTTTGAGCCTCTTCAAAAATGGCTTGCGTTCAACATGTTGGACAAAATGTGAGGGAGTTAGTGTTAAGCATTCACCTGCAGAGTGATTTGTACAAAACTGTAGAAAAACTGACTGAGTTGCTCAACATCACCAGACTCTGTCAAGTTTGTGAGCACAGCCTTCACAAGGGTAGCATCCTTTAAAGCACCACTGTCTGGATCCAGTATCAGCTGAGCCTTCTGTTGTGGTGATAGGACACTCAGAACTGCAACCTGATGATGCAAATCAAGAAAATGAATGAGACAATTTCCTTTCAGAAATTCCACAAGCACACTCTTGTGACCCTGCATGGTCCTGGAAAAAAGTTTTGCTATTCTCAAGGGAGATTAGTCGTGAGATGTCAGACTTACCTGGGACAGGTTGAGGAATTTGAGATCAGAGTATGGTATCAGGGCAGCAAATTGAGCCAAGTTTTCTTCAAGCACTAGGGCATCAGTCTGAATTCCAGGCCTGCAAACTGAGACATATGTATATGCAGGTTAGAACTAGCACAACAAATAAGGTACCCTGTTAATCAGCAAGTTATAGAGCAAGTACTCTTTTCAGTCACACAGTTTTACATTCATTTTTGTTTTTTATATCTCAGTAGTGGTTTTTTTTTCTTCCAAATTTCAATGCCTCGGGCAAGTGGTCACAGTTTTAATATGTCAGGCCTACCTGGCTGGTTTATGATACTGGCAGACCTCATCAGGTAGTCAAGTAGTACATGTGCAAGACTTTGCAGTCTATTCTGTGGTATGGCAGAAAAAACATTGGACAGCCCACTCACACTGCAATGAAAGGAAGACAACTGTCATACACAGTTCCTCAAAAGTATTTTGTATTTTGATGGATTCATTACTCGGTTAAGCCTAAAATGTAACATACATGACATGATAGTTTGTACAGTTGATGCTTGAGGTTGCATTTTGGAGCATCTCTGGAGTGAAACTTGCAAGGATGGGGGCCAGTTTGACATGGAACCAAATGTAAAACTCGAGCGTATTGAAGCTTTGGAACTGGGGACTAACAATCATGAAGGTCCTGTTCATGATGTGATCTCTCACAACAGGTTGGAATGTTGGAACCTGTAATAATTTTGACAAGGAAGCAGTCATACACCACATCTTTGCTATGTTTTTGAACCTTGATCAATGTTTCAAGAGGCTGCAAAACAGAAGTATGTGAGTAATTATCACACCTACAATGATGCAGATGTTTTCACAAGCTTTTTGGTACAAAAATAGGTCATTCTTAAGTCAGTGACTGTCCATTATGTTGCCACTTGAAAGTGTCGTATACCTGTCCATTCTCTGTAAGCTTAGTCAGGAACTCATCCACATTTTCCACAGCATTGCCATTCTCCAGACGCTCAAAGACCCGATCGATCAGTTCTGTGTCATTCGAAATGTCTATGCTTAGTAGCAACTCTGCTACTTGGGATGGAGCCAGCTCTGACAAAACGTCGGCCTTTAAATGAAAAATAAAAATCCAATAAGGAAGTAAAATGGAAATATTAGCAAAATCACAAGATATACGTTAATTCCTTTTGACAGAACAAGTTAGAAACTGCAGTAGGCACATACACTGGAGAAGTTTGGATTGAGCGCTTTTAACTCCTCTATGGTTGCAAATTCAGAGAAGTTGCCAATGTTTGCCTGTAGCCAGCGTTGACTACCATTGACGGATGAGACACAGCCTGGATCTGCAAAATAAAAGGAAGAAAAATGCATTGGCTCTAGGTAACATCACATGATATTATACAGTTGGACCAAAGATCCTGGCCTTACCTGACAAATCTTTTCTCTCTAGGAAAGGTTGGATGAAATGAGTAAACACTGTTTCCTGTCTGTCACTGTCCATGAATGCCTTTTGGCTGCTGAATGCCTCAACGCTAAGATAAAAAAAGAATGTAGTTCACATCAAAACAATCTGCAAGATTTTTGCACTATTGTTTACAGAAAAGCAACAGATCTCTCACTGTATGTACTTACACAATCTGGTACGTCAGGCAGCTGAAGTTGTTGGCGCTAAGGCAAATCAGGAAATTTGGGGATGAGGAAGCAAGGAATGGACTGAGCTTCTGCTGGAACCAACTGCGGGTGAAATTTTCATTGTGGAGGTCTTCCTGGCTGATTGTGTTACGTTCCACTTCTTCTAGAGCTTCAAGGGCATTTGTCAAGACGGGGTTGCTGCTGTTTGGGGCCTAGAAGGATGGAACAACCGGTTGGATATAAAATGTACACAGATAAACAATCAGTATGTTGAAATGGTGGTATTGGATCTACCGTGATGCTGAATGCCTCAAGAGCTTGATTCAAAACAGAAGTTCTATTGAAAAAAAGCTTCCAAACTTCAACTGGGTATGTCCTTTGGCTTTTCAGAGAGCATTTTGCCAACATGACCAAGTTGTCTTGTGAGAAACTTGTTGGCTGTGGAGGAATGACAATAAATGAATCCAAGTTAGCAGAACGTTTTGAGGATTTGTCCTCATATTGTACCAAAGCAAACAACGTTATTTTGTAGGATTCACAGTTTGCAGACAGCAATATTACCGAGACGCAGGCGAGTTCAGTGATGGTAAAATTGCACAAAGCTGTTGAGGAGTTGTCTGTTGCTAGTGTTTGTTCGACTTTAGATCTAAAAAAAAAAATTATTAAAAAATCTTGTGTCATTTATATTGTGTAAAACATCTTTCAAACACTGCAGCAAGTAGAACAGTAAACTACACACCGATTAACTCCAGCACAGATCAAGTTCTCTGTGAAAAAATAAAAATAAAACATATTTTGTATTACATATGAATACTTGACAAATCAACTGCATCATTAATCTGGATATGGGATGCAGACTTACTATCAACAAATGTCTCATTGCACTGAAAACAAAACAAGAAATGTATATTTCATGGTGAAAGTTTGTGAAAATAAAACATCATATGATTCCTGACATAACAATAATTGTGCCTTCACTTGTCTAGTAAATTTTTTAAACTTTTTTAAAATTATTTTTTGTAATATTTACTTGATATCTAACTTACCACAAATTCTTCTGATTTTAAGCATCCTGTTAGAAAGAAAATGCGTCAGTCTTTTTTTTTTTTTTTGTTGTTTGTTTGTTTCTTAGCACAAAGTGGCACTGGGCTTTTCTTAAAGAGTTTGTTCTCAAAATATTTCTAACACATACTTGTGAAGGTCTCCTGTAGTAATTCCAAGCTTGATCTCAGACCCACTGAAAGGTTCATTGTCAAAAATGTCAAACTATCTTGAAGACTAGTGACTCTGAATAGAAGAAAACAGTCATTGTTGCAACATGTCTGCAATCAGATTTTGACATTGTTTAATCACAATACTTCCAATGCTTTTAAGAAATATTTCTCACATGGCAGCATACGATGCACAGCTGATGTTCTTGGGTATCACCCACAAGCTGCCAGGTTGGAGGCTTGCTATTACAGGATTCAAATAAACTTGGAACCACAGTTTATAGTCTTCAGGCTTAAAGTTCTCCATTTCAGGTGCGAGGGCTGTTAGGGTCACATTCAAGATGGCGTCTCGTACATCTCCGTTTTTTATAATTGTATTGTTGGTCTGTAATTGAAAAAAAAAAGCTTTTTTTATAACCTTTGTGTTATTTTTTTTTATTGTCAATTTTTATTATTATAATTTGTTTTTCTGGACATAAAGCATTTATCATTGAGACTTCACCTGCTGAGTGATTTCTGTTAGTCTGCTGAAAAACTGGCTGAGCTGCTCAATGTCGCCTGATTCTGTTATGTATGTGAGCACTTCCCTAACAAAGGTGGCATTCTCCAAAATGCTGTGTACATCCAGTAATAATGTGGTGTTCTCTTTTGGCAGAACCACGATCCACCTGTTTTCCTGTGAAAAACAGAAAACAGTTTGTTTTAAACGTAATTTATTCACCTGGCAACAAAAATGCTGCAAATATTTTTCCAGTTTTTTTCTTGCCTATAACATTTGTAATGGTATTTAATGCTTCACTTACATCAGAAAAATAGTTGCTCATATTGTTAAGATCCTCAAATGTTGCAAAGAAAAACAAACTTCCAATGTTTTTGTTTAGCCATTCTTCACTTCCATTCACATTTTGATTACATCCAGGATCTGTGAAGATTCAAATGATCAATGTAGAAAAGTACTTAAATATATATTTTTCTTCCTTAGTAGTTCTAATTCACACATTCTTTTTACACATTATTCATTAATAAATAAATAACTATCATCATTTCTTTTTACCTTCTACGTTTTTTCTTGTCAGGTACACCTTGATAAAGCTGCTGTAGATGAGTTTCCTTGTCATTGTTTGAGACATCGCAACTTCCACACTCATTAGCTTCACCCTGTAACAAATTTATTTTAAACATATCAGACATTTAATATTATGTTTTTTTTCTCTCCTTTAAAATAAACAAATCTGGAGTAATGAGAAAGGAATCATGTCCTCACATTTTCAACAAACATTTATTTAATATGAACCCACTCTGAGGTAATCAGACCACCATCATTATAAATAAAAAATGATCTTAAAAGTATAGAAAAAATGTAAACTGCAACAGTTGTAGCTTCAGTCAAATACAAACTGCTGATAAAATTTTCAAGTAATTATACGAATTAATATTTGATTTGATTTGTTAGAGAGAATACACAGGTTACATTTTAAGTGATAGTGCTGGACGGATGTGCAAAATCTGGTACAAAAAACATCGTCCTTGATTGATTGCACTTCAGGGAGTGCATTAAACACAAGGAGGAACATTTTACAGTACTTCTTGGATACATATGTGAGTCAGTAACAAAATGAACTTAGAAAAAGAGCACAAAAGTGTTTGTTTTGGCAAGAATATTAAGAACAGTTGTATGCAGTCATATAGTTCACTCACAGCTCTTGGTAAGAACTGCAGCTGAAGTTCTGGTTTCCAAGTTGGATCAGGAAACTTTCACTGACATAGGGAAACAGAGGAGCCAACTTCACAGAGAACCACAGTTTGATGAACGCAGGGTCACTGTAGTTACCCAGACTCAGGCTGTCCAGGACTCCAAAAACATCCAGAACATTGGATCCAGATTCAGTGGTGCCCTAAGATTCAACAAAGTTGTAATTAAAGCCTAGCTGTTTAAAGCTATGCTGTATTTGCACATATCTTGAAGGTTATAAAGAAACACATGAGAACATTAAGATTTATGAGTCTGAATGCATCACTTGGCATTAAAACATGAGAACGGATCAGTAGCAGGTAAAACTAAAGCTTGTGTGCTAATATTTTACACGTAGTTGATATTTGGTGAATATTATTGAAAATAGGTTTGAAAGCTCAATCATCCAGGCAAACAAATCACAATAAAGGTTAAATCATGTCATCTGAACATTTTTTTTTGGGGGGGGGGGGAGAAACATTTCATGTTCCATCCAAAAAGACTTCATTAGTCTGAGGCCTGCCACCAAGAACTGTCTTATAAATAGCGCCTCACAGATGTGTTTCAAGCCAGCCTGCTGTGGGATTCCAAGAAACTGGCTTTACACATGCAAAAAGGGGACCATTCATCCAAAACAATCAATTATCTGATTGTCACTGTCATTTGATTGTTATGCACGAATTATTGTTTTGGACGAATGGTCTCTGTCAAAGAGGTGCTCTTATAAAAAAAAGTTCTTAGTGGCAGGCCTCAGACTGATCAAGTCATTCAGCTGAAAGACAAAACGTTTCTCCCAAAAAGAAACTATCTAGATGACATGATTGAACCTTTTTTTTGTGACTATTGAAAATGTTTTTTTACGTCACGTTTTTCATGTTAAACTGGATTAACCGAGTTACACAGGTGTGATTCATATTATTTAACAGAGAAACATCATTACCAGGTCTTGGAAGACATTTAAAGTTAATTCTGTCATCTGCCTGAGGTTTTGTTCCACTTTGCTGAAAAAATCTTCTGGTAGGCTTGCATTTGTGCTTCTTTTGCAAGCTAGCTCCCCAATATAAGAGTCCACAGCTGCAGATATCTGGGAAAAAAAACAGGTTCATGGTTCTTTGTCATTCGCATCACATGTGGTACATGAGGTAGAACAAAATTGTGTACTCAAGGTCCCAGTTACATCCAAAAATAGCAAAACTATAAAGTATAAAAAGAAACAGTATATAAGGATCTAAGATATACGCTAAGATATATGCTAAACAAACGCTAAATGATACGCTAAAAGATCTAAGATATATGCTAAACACTAATAATGTAAAATAATATGGTATATTAAACAGCAGCCCAAACATGAGTCTGTAGTGAGTGGTATGAATGAATACAGCAGTATGAGGTCAACAGCATGGGATCAAGAGCATGGATGCATGGATGAAAAAAACAATAGCAGCACTGGAAGGGTTAGTCTTTAGAAAAGCACAGGAGAGCATCAACCAGCAACACTGCTTTTGTAATAAATTTGAAATTTTGCACAGATTATTAGTTTTGGGGTGATTTTTTTTTCTTGGTCATTAAAAGGGTTTCTGAAACTACTTACATTGTAAATGGTGTCTTGGAGATTTACTCCTCGACATGACTCCTGGAGACTGTTGCTTGGAATGGGAGTAGTACTTTAAGAGAAAATTAAATGAAACAAAAATAAATAGCCGATCTACAAATTATAACAAACAATATATAAATAAATCAATAAAAGTGTGGAAAAAAATGGTGGAATATTTGATTGCTAACCTGTTGGTAAAGGTTGTCAGCAAACTTACACCTGTAATGTATTAAAAGTTCATATTTTATATTAGCTCTGCTGTTATTTAATTAATGTGGTTTCAATTACTTCTTTTTCTTTCTTTTAGAACTGTTACTATCTTTTAATAAAAAGAGGATTTTTCATACCTTCTGTAGTGTTGGACTAAAAAAAAAGAACAAAAAATAATTTTATTATATTTACAAAATACCTATCATTCACTGAATTAACAAAATATACACAATGCAAAAACCACGACATAAACTTACAAGTGCAGAGGTCAGCGTTGTCATAAATACTGTTAAAATTAGAAAAATATGCAAAATTTTTATTGTAACCATTTCTCATGTGAACCAAGACAAAACTGGAAAAAATAAAAAATTCCTTTGAATTTTTGCGAGATGCTTACCAATCGTAGCTGCTGAGAGAAGCGGCAACGTTCTGTGGCCGCCCATGTTGAGAGCGCAGCTCTGCTCACCTTCCTAACACTCAATTTATTTAACCAGCATTTTACACCAAGATGAATAGTTTGCAATCCTAAGATAGTCAGAGAAAAGTATTTTAAGCATTTATTTTAGATACAAGCATGGTTTAATGAAAACCGCAATCAAAGATAAACATCTAGACATCAATGATTTTATTTATAATCACATTTTTGAATAATATTCCAGTTAATGTCCTAATGTAATAGCTACAGTCTTGTTTTACAGGTAAGATAAAGCAACATATATTTTCCTTAAGTTGGAAGTAGTTTAACTATTATGCAATATTATGATTATTACACAAACAATAATACATAATTTTGCTAGCAGTTGAAGGTTTGTACAAAATTAATTTAAAGTCCTGCAGGTAAAACTCACCTGTCTAACTCCTTTTCCCTGTCAGAGGAGAATGAGGACCAAACATTAAAGGTGGAGCAGTTCTAGATAGGGTGGAGCAAACTAATTATCAGCAGGTTTTTAGAAACCAAGCTGTAACAAAAGCATACTCTGTGAACTCAACGTGTTCTGTAAGATTCCATTTACATTAAATCACTTCAGCTTGTTCTTCACTTTTAGGATTCAATGCATAAATTATAAATACACCAAGCAGTAGGTACAAATTATGCAATAGGGTTTTCCAAGATAATTAAATCAAACTAACTGCACAATCAATTGCTTTCATGGTAAATACTTTATTACTCACTATCCATCTCTTTGGTTAACTACCTGCTTACAAACGGGTTGCAGTTAATTCCATGCAATTTAAAAAGCAAATGAAGACTTAGCAGTTCTTCTAATAATTAAGTTGACAGTTTTTTGGTAGTAAACATCAGAGGTGGAAAGATACTGAACATTTGTACTCAAGTACAAGTACTGTTACACTGCTTAAATTGTACTCGGTTACAAGTAAAAATACTGGTGTTATAAAAAAATATGGCCTCGGGCACTCGTCCTCAGCCTTTACCTCATCATTTTCTCTGTTGACAGTGTTGTCTTCTATCTCCATTTTGGCTTTTTCTTCATATCTTTGGTCCATAAATGGCTCTCTACTCTATGGAGTTGTCCTTTGCTTACGTCATAGGTAACTGGTGCGTTCGCGATCTGAGAGCCTTATTGGCTACAAAGATGCAGATGAATGGTTTGATTGTTAATTCAAATTATGGCCATACTCAGTAGCGACTTCTGATTTTAAAAGTAGCCAAGTAGATTACAAGGTCTAAATTGTACTTGAGTATGAGTAAAATTACACACTTGAAAGAAACTCATAAAAGTACAAGTACACACAAAATGTACTTAATTACAGTAATGTATTTGTAATTTGTTATTTCCATCCCTGGTAAACATACTATATTGTATAGCATGAATAAAATACTTTTGCTTCCAAACTGAGATTCTTTAGACTATTTGGATTCCTTCAACCATCAGTTTTTCATCTTCAGCATCATGGATTTCAGTTGCAGTGCAGAGATTCACGAAGCTCTTATTCATGAAGCTCTTTCAAGTGATCCTGCTGTAGTTGGATTCAGTAGAGGGGGATGAGACTGCAAACAAGGCAGTAGAAGAAATTATTTTACCCAATGAAAGCAAAATCATCTGCAGCTTAATACAGGAAAAACTAACAATCAGTAAAGTACATACAGAGTGTTGAGACGCCAGTCATTTCTCAGTATCTGTCAATCCATGTTCAGGATGCTGCGTGTTCCTGTGGTAGCCATTTTTATGCTCTCCATGCTGATAAGGAAACATTTAAATTCTTATTTCCTGGTCAAAACAAAACAGTTAATAACAATAAGAAAGTGTAGTGACCTTTTAAGGAATGCATATTGTTTACCACCTATCATGATCATGATCATCTTATGTTGGAAAATTGTGGAGTTTGGTCAAATCTTGAAAATAAACCAGCCACTAGGGAGCAAAGTCAGTTGACTTTCCATGCTGGTTACCAGCCTGTGTTGCATCAGGAAGGGCATCCGGCATAACACACTTTTGCCAAAACGTGAGGTTGTCCAAGCAAGACTATACTAGATTGGTGGAGGAGCGGGTTATCAACTGGCACCAGTTCTGTTGACAAACAGGGTGCCAACCAAAATTCTGTGGTTAGTTTAGGACCACAAGGAAGAAAAATAGTTGGAGTGGGGACAGAGGATGGAGAGTACAAAAGAAGATAGAGGACAAGTCATTGTGGTGACCCCTGAAGGGGGAACAGCTGTAAAAGAAGGTGGCAAAACTTTTAAAATACTGTCATGCATGATCCCACATACTACTGCAGACTTTGGCAAGATCTGTTGAAGCTTGGAGTGTGTGCTGCAAATGTCTTTCTTCTTACTTGTCTACTTCTTGTTTACTTGTCTACTCAGTACTATTAAAGTCTACTGCTTTCTTCTTCTCATTTTGGCTTTTCCCCCTTCAGGGGTCACCACAGCGAGTTATAATCCTCCATTTCACTCTGTCCTCTGCATCCACTGTCCTCACTCAAAGTACCTCCATGTCCTCTCTAACAGCACCCATATGTCTTCTCTTTGGCCTTCCTCTGCCTTTTTCCTGGCAGTTGCATTTCTAACATCCTTCTACTAATATACCCACTGTTCTTCCTAGGGACAATTCAAACCATCTCAGTCTGGCCTCTCTAACTTCATCTTCCAGTTGTTCAACCTGTGCTGCACCTCTGATGATCTCATTCCTAATCTTATCCATCCTTGTCACTCCTAAGGAGAACCTCAACATCTTCATTTCCACCACTTC